GAGGGAGGGAGGGAGGAAGGGAGGGAGAGCAACCACGAAAGGGCAGGATTAGATCGGTGGGCGAGGGGAACAGACAAGAGGGAGGAGGGAGAGAGAGAAAAAAAGGGAAAATGAGGGTCAAAGGAGGAACATGTTATGTGTTAAAGAAGAGAAATAACAAAAGGGTTTTTCATGATTTGATGGCGAAAACATTACTGAGACTCTAGAGTTCTGTTGGGGAAAAAAAAAGGGGGGGGGTTGGGGAGGGTTTGCTAGTTCATTTTACATATGAAAAAAGAAATCTAAGGAATGCAGGTAATGGCAAAAAGATGGAAAAAACGAAACTCAAAAGAAAACTTAAAATAACTATGAAGTTTACTCCCCAGCACTGATATGGTAAATTTCGCTTTTCAAAATTACGGTATTTTTGAAAGGGGGACGCGGGGGGTTTTGGTAATTTTTTTCAATTTGTCAATTTTGTGACATTAATAGTACCCTTTGTCATTTTGCTAGGATGAGAGGAGAATGAGCAATGATTTGCTGCTTCCATCTAAGGCATAACATTTTTGTTTGGTTTTCTTTTTAGAAAGTTAGTTTTTTTCATTTCATTCACTGAGGTCAACGTGCATTTTTCATATAAAACAAACCTCATTAGCCAATGTGTTCACTTCAGTTTGTACTTGCTTGTCTGTACCCAGACTTCTTTTTTTTTTTTTTTAAATCACAACAAAATATTTATGCAGTCTAAATTATAAGAACATCAGTAAAGGAAGACTGAAAAACACCCTGGCTTCCACAGCAGCGGTATCCTTTCTGGCAGTGGTTACAGTGAACATAAACGAGCTTTACAGCTGACAGACACGGTACTACACAGATACAACAGACACATCATCAGACGGACCCTGCCAGCATGAGGGATTTTGGGTTGACCTGACCTCCGAGCCCAAGGTAGCAACGGGCTCTTTGGAGAATGTACGTATCAAACCACCTTCACTTCAGTCTAACTCCACCCTTTGGCAGGCAAGGTGAGTTTGGCCCAGGTACTTGGGCTTTTCTGTACATTTTTAGACATTAAAATACAGTAATTCCAAGGACATGGGGTTTTTTTTCAGATGACAAAATGTTTACCTAGATAAATCCTCCCTTTGCCATGCATTTGCTGCAGCTTACGCACTGGCTTTTAAGTTGGCAAACAACCTAAATACTAATTTCAGGATGCATTTTGCTTGTGACCAGCTGGGAGGTATCACAGCCTAGCATATAAATATGACTATGGGTTAGAAAATCTTTGCTAGCTACAGTTATATGTATATTAATTCCAAGTTTGGTGTTTTTTTCAGTAATTGGGTTGAGTGTAACAGCCCCTGGATGGAGAAAAGCAATGCCCAGAAGGTCTGCCTGCTCTGCAAAAGTGCAAGGATACAAGCAATGAATCAACACTATACAGGGAAGGGGCACGTTGGACTAAAGCTTCCCAAAAAGTACTGCTGCTGAAGGTCATTCTACACCTGAAGCAGGTCTGAGCTGGGGAGAGGAACATGGAGGAGAGAGGGAAATGCTTGAGCATATTAGAAATGCCAGCTCCGCTCTTCCCCACCAAAGAGGGCTCTTGGAGTATTAACACCTTGGTGGCTTTTCCTGGGAATCTGGAAGGTGCATGGCTTCTCTGGTGGGCTGGGAGGGGAGGAGGATGGAGGCATGAAATGCAGCCTCGATTGTGGGAGGTAAAGCTTTGGTTTGCCTACTCTGTGGTGTTTATCTGCCTCCGTGGATGAGCACCTCAGAATTTCCCTAACCTCCTCAGCAGAGTTGTTCTTTGTAGAGAGAGGAGCATCCTCGTGCTGTTAGTCAGTAATATCTACTCACACAGTAGGTTTTACATCAAGAATACTGAATCAGTGGATCCAACTCTAGTGCACATCCCATCCTTGACTTGGAGTGGAGGAATTACACAGTGATAACTTAGTAGGCTTTGAAAAACTCAGTTTATACAGTTGGATTTTTTAATATTTCTAACTCTGTATTATTCTGGGAGGGAGGCACACAGAAAGATAATGCAGGACTCCATGTTTCAGCGACTCCAAATTCGCCTACCTTGCATTTAACAAAAACAAAACCCCTTACTGACGTGAGGGGTATCTGAGCCTGAGCTTTTTCCTGCACCAGCAGGGAGAATAGATCCCATGGGCTAAATGCTGGTAGCAGCCACTCAAACTCCCCATATCTGATGTACTCACATGGGTACAATTAAAGCTGTAATCTGCCCCGGTTGTAGATCGGTGGCAATGCGTAAGGTGAAAGGACGTCAGGTTTGCTACCAGCTGTCCCCTGACAGCGGCTGTTTCCCAAACCAATTGTAGGTGCAGCCAAATTGAATGTGAAAGCAGATAAGGCAACTTTCATACAGAATTTCACGGTGCCAATTTTACACTGTCCCTTTGAAGAACTACACTTTATGATACACCAAAGGCCATGTCCTGCATTACCCGAAATTTGGTGAAAGGAATAAAGCTCGAGTGTGGCTTCGGCGGTCCTGTTAGCTCTGCCACCAAAATGGCAGTAAAAAGTATCTTCAGGAAACTGCTCTTCAACAAGGAGAAAGTGTTGCTGGCTACAATTCATTTATAATCCAAAGTCAAACACTACACAGGAAACTTCAACTGTGGTTCATTCTTAATAAAAGCTAGAAGATGGAATTGGATAATGAAAATCCAGTTACTACAATGGAGACCAGTTAAGAGACAGAAGATTTTACAGGAAAAAAAAGACACTTCTACTGCAAACAAGCTGGGACACGTTCTACTCATACAGAGGTCAGTGCTAGGGTAATCAACACAGAATCAAAACAATAGTTTAGAAAGATTGAAATCTCTGTCTTGATATTATATCAATATATTTACATAGCTATAATTTAGAGTATATTATGTACATATTCAACACCAGATTGCAATAGAAGTCTTAAAACAAGCTGATAAATTATTCTATAGGTGGTAACTTTGGTTGGAGGATAGTTTAAAGATATACACAGACTGTTTCAGGAATACAATAGATAGATTTTTTTTTCCCTTACATCTTATGCTGCTGTTAAACACTGATTTATGCAGAAATAGTGGCCCTGGAAACCAAATCCATGAGGATGACAGATCTTGTGGGGGAGAGGAAAAAAACCAAAAAGTCTACCTTACTCTGAATGCTTTTATGGCTTTTATTTATTATCATTATTTTGACATTCCAGACTATACCTTGGGCAGTCTGGGTACTCTACTCAGCTCTTCCCCACAGCTGTTTATTTCATGCCAACATCTTTAAGAGATGGCAGTACTTGTGACAGGTTTAGAGCTGACAAACACTGAAATTTGCTCCCAGTGTGCACAGGCAGCAGCAGCCTAAATCTGCCTCTCAAAAACCTGCCTGAGCACCTAAACCCCAGCCAGGGCAGACCTGCCTCCTGCCCGAAAATGTCTCAATTCTTCCTCCAGCACGACTGCAAACTTGCAGCACTGCTGTGGTGGCACCTGTCTGAATAGGAATTTCTCTTGGGAAAACAGAACTCCGGAATAGTGTCACTTTTTAAACATGAATAAAGCTACCTTAATGTCCTATGTTAACTTAGAGCTTAATTTATTATTATACATTAAGAGTCTTCACTTACAGATGAAGTCACTTCATCTAAATACAGTTTCAACACATGGTACATAATAATATATAATGGTTTATTGTAGATGATGGTAACAAATGACTTCTATCTAGAAATTCGACAGGAAGAGAAGATATAGTTTCTGGTTTCACAGGGTATAGATAGAGCATCCGTGGTATATGACTGCTGAGAAGTTTTCTTCTTTGCAAAAGTATATTAAATGACCTCATATATATCCCATTCCACCAAAAGAAGCATTAAACAGGAATAAACAGAAGTGTGAGAGTTCAGAGGCTTTTCTAAAGTGAGGCAAACAGAGGTTTGTTCACTAGAGTTTCTGTCTCTGGTGAGCAGCTCACTGCAACTCCATTAATAAGTGCATTATTTTATTTGCATGCTTTAGCTGTCTTGAAGATCTTAAATTGTTATCTTCTGAGATCCAGGTGCATGCCATATGGTGTTTGTGCAACTAAAAATGAAGGGGTCTATTCTCGTCTCGATGTGTGGGGAATCCCTGAACACCAAGAGAAGAACATATCCTTAAGGGTTAAAGGAGGGAACACATTTTTATTTGATTACAGGGCTTACGGAAGTGACTTATATTTGCTACAAAGAATATAAATCAAAAGATCTGCAGGTTGCTTTAGGGTCCTGGTAACGGCTTATCTTAGGCTTCACAATGCCACCCCTCAATATATCTTTCCCTCGGAAACTACTTTCAAGCTGAATTATAAAAAAAGTGAAAATGTTGTCTGCTGTAACACAGAGCTGCACAAACATCCTTTTCCCCCATTAAGACATTTATGATGGCTTGCAGTGGTGCGCTACAGAACTGAGCTGGAGAGGAGGCTGGACCATAGCAGACTGTAGACCAGCTATGAATACAGCCCCCCCCCGAATAAATCACATACTTTCTGCTACCTTAACAGCAAACATAAACACAAAGCTTGATTTGAATTACAGTATTTCTGAGGGAAAGAAAAAAAAAGAAAGGAAAAGAAAAGCAGCAATAGAAAACGTAGATACTCCCCCTCCCCACAACATATTGCCTTGGTCCACCATTTACAAGCAGATCTATGAGACAGCACTATATCCATTGCACTATCTTCTCAGGATAATTGCAAATACAGGTGGCTATCAATTGTAATCATTTTCTAAATATAAATTAAATAAAATCATATCAATCATATCAAAACTGGGAGAGACTTCAGCCATCGCAATGGCTTAGCTAAACAGCCAGTGCTTTCATTGCTTCTGGCACCAAGAAGTGGAGAAGCAAATAGTCTGACCCTGCCTCATTAGGGAATGCTTTTTACAGATTTCTGATGCTGTCTTCTAAAAAATAAATCCCGTGCCTCTTTAGCAACCAAATGTCAGTTTAGTATCAACTCTAAGTGGCAATTTCAAGTTAGTAAATTAAATCTGTTTTGCAATCTGTTTCACTATATTTGCCATTTAGGACAGTAAAGCGGGTCTGTGAAAAGTATTTTCTTCTAAAGACTTTATGATTGTCATTTAATTTATCCACCTATATTTTAGCTGGATGCCAGTGCGAGTATTCAGATTTTTTTTTCAGCTTTTTTCATTCAACATGTACCTGGAATTGGACCAGATTAAGCTGCTTTCCATAGAAATCAACAGTAAATACAGGTTCTAATGAAACAAGCTTTACAAATCATTAGGAACTGAATAATACTTTGCAAAATGGACACTGCAAAGCAACTTTCTGGATCTATCCGGGACAGACATTTGCTGGAGAGCAGGCAGAGCAATCTGGCAGAAGCATTATCACTTACAAAGCAAACTTACCTTGCATTAATGAGGTACTGTGCTAAGCTGATGTTTGCAGGGGATCCTGTGATTGTAACTTGTCGTTCTGCGGAGCCTTCTGTGGCATTAGCAATCTTGATCTGCGCTCCTGACATCTGCCTGATTTCATTTATCTTACTGCCTTGTCTGCCAATAATGCAGCCTATTAACTGGAGCGGGACAAAGACTGAAATTAGTGCCACAGACACAAGCAAAAACCACTTAACTGCAATTTGTAGTATGGCTGAAAATACAATTATGAAAGACTACTGAGATGAAAGATTTTTGCTGTGTTGTTCGGAAGGAATAACTAGTGCAGCCTATTGGCTCTATGGTCATACATCTCTATGTCAAGATTTGCTGCTACATGGTTATCAACTCAATATCAGGTTATTTAGCTGTCTTCTGTGGTAGAAAATGACAGTGTGCTCTGGTGGTGATGAAGACAACACAGTGCCCAGCCTGACTTGCCAGTGGCAGCAGCCAGCCCAGATCAGCAGTGGGATGTCAGGCTGACCACCCAAAGCTGCTGCCCTGCACCGTCCTGGTGCATCTGCTGGTCCTAGGCCTCCCGGGGCACGCGTGGTCCTCACTTCGCCACCTCCTGCACTCTTAAAGTCAGTGGGATTTACAACTCTATAACCGCAAGCAGAAGTGGGAGCAGGAAGAGCCTGAAATGTATCTGAGTTCCTTTACAGAAACTTACCAAAAACTCCTATTTCCTGAATAAAACCGCACCTGAGTTGTGTGTGTGTCCCTAGATCCCCCCAATTTTTTTTTTTTTAAATTACATTGGTGTTATCTTCTATTAACAGCATTTTTAAAGGTTGTTTAAATGCTCTTGGTGGAGCCACAAGCTTTTGGAAGCTGTGTGCAAGACCTTGATAGTGTTTAGCAGCACATGCAACCAATGCAGCTGTGGCTGGGTAAGGGAGCAACAACTGCACCAGGGTGCTGCTCCTCTGGCACAGGCAGCCCCCCCAAAACAACTGGGCCAGCGGGCAGCTGGGGATGAGGTGTTTTGGCTGCTCTGAGGGTGAGGAGGGAGACTTTTGTGTTTAAGGAAGGATGGGTGCTAAGAAACTCAGCAGAAAATGGAAACTTTGTTCTGCAGTTACTGCTGATGATGTTACCAGTTTGGCAGAAGGACGTGGCAAGATGCAGAGACTGTCTTCCCCTCCCACCTTCCCACTGCTTCAGGCCCTGAGGCATTACCACCTCTATTACTGTAGCATTTGGAGTATCTTGCCAGAAACAGTCACAACTGCCCGGTTTATCAAAAGAACAAACCCCCCACTCCCTCCCAGCATAATCCTTGCTTCACAGTGAGAAGCAGAAAACTAAAGCAGGTATCCAGGCAGCCAAAATGGTGACCAAGCATAAGGAGAGCACCCACGGGGGGAAAAAAATGGGACTTCACGAAACACGCACAGGACTTTGTGTCCTGTTCAAACAGGAGGGCCTGGCTGAGCTCTCTGTCCTTATACCAAGGCCCTGTGTTCACAGAATCACAGAATCACAGAATCACAGAATGTTAGGGATTGGAAGGGACCTCAAAAGATCATCTAGTCCAATCCCCCCACTGGAGCAGGAACACCTAGATGAAGTTGCACAGGAAGGCGTCCAGGCGGGTTTTGAATGTCTCCAGAGAAGGAGACTTCATGAGTGATGGCACATACCAGTGTAGAGGCCTCTGCAAGCTTCACCAGGAAGCCTCTAGTCTCTCTTGTGTGCAGGAGCGGGCCTCCATACACTGGCTGTTAGCAGCGCAGGGATCCCTAAGCATCTGCTTCCTATACCTCAGTCTCACTTGTCTCCACAGTCCACAGGTCGTGAAGGTGAAGCAGGAGAGAAGAGGTCCCAGAGCACAGGTGGTGGCACCACTGGTGAGGTTTGGCTTATACCAGTGTGAGGAAAGCAAAGGCAGTCCTACCAGAGTATCACTGTACAGCAAAGCTGGGAGCACTAGCTCCACTCTTATCTGTTAAAATCTGGTGATGGATGGACTTCCATAGTTTTGCTCCTGTGAATGACCTGCATGTCATGCAGTAGCTACAGTTTACCCAAATTTGGTCAGAAGCGTTCACTACTGCAGAAGCAGAATGAAGCGTGGAGGCAGGGAAAAGCCTTGGGTCATCTTTACTTGACTGCTAGCCAGAGGTGTTTACTGAGATACAGAAGTGGCTTGGGATGGCCACCAGGAGTGGAGGCCACCAGCGTTTCCTTCTGCCACAACTAGCATCTGATCATTTTTGCAATGATGATCTTGAAGTGATGGGTCAAGAATTGGTGTGTTGCTACTGATGATCTTACAAAGCAGTGACCAGGATTTAGAGTCTGTGAAGCAGCTGTTGTGGTGCCCGTCACGCCTTCAGGCTCCTTCGATAATTCTCACATGATGTGCATGCAGAGCTGATTATGCTTCTGGTTGCTTTAATAATTATGTCCTAAGTGTCAACAGGAAAATGTAGACTGCAAATAGTCCCTCAGTCGGTCCAAAGCAGAAGGCTTAATCTGATAAAATTACTTGGTGTAAAATACATACAAAAATACATACAAATATATTATTTAGAAGAATTTCAAGCAGCCCATTTCAGAGGTGTGGTTGTCATTGTGGCATTCAAAGCAGAGAAATAGTGTAGGATAGCTGGTTCGTCAGGCATGTTGTGAGACATTGTCTTACATGTTTGGTTCACCAGCTCTGAGAAGGCACTTGCTGGGTCACTAAAGAGGCTGCCACTTACTTGTATGTGCTGGGGGGTCCTCCAACAAGACTGACCAGTGAGTCAGTATGAAAAATGTGCCATCTCCTAGCGGACTTTGAGTTAGGTAGTGAGGATTCAGTCCAGACTGAAGTCCCAGTCAAGGATACTGGTGATGCAAGTATCCGGAAGAGAGTTTCGGTAACCTTTGGTCTGAAGCTCTCCAAAGTCATCCTTTGGTGCTGTGATGATGGGCTGCTCAAACGTGCTCTGCAAGCTGTGACACGACCTGCAGCTTGTGCAGAATACATTTCTCCATTTGCCACTCGGGGAGGACAGCAGTCCTGGGGTGCTTGGGCTCTCTCTGGTGTGGCTTTCCTGTTATCTATTGCTTACACTGAACTTTGTGCAGGATCTGAATATTCAAGAGCTGATGAGCTGATAGAAGTTCAAGGGATTGGTTTTCATCTACAAAGCTTTGATCAATCAGGCCATGGACATTTGGTTTTACATAAAAACATCTGCCCTGCCTTGCTTTGAGTCAAGTCCATGACAAACTGCATTCAAACACCCATCTCTTTTCAAAACTGACCTTTGTAATGCCATCAGCTGTCTCCCTGTCATGCTGTAGCTGGCCATTTCACGTGATTTGGCAGGCTCTGTGTAACTCAGACCCATAAAAGTCCTTTACCACAAAAGCAAGCTTCCTCTGACTTTGAAAGTTGCTACCTTGCATGCAACACTGCATAATTCACAGTCAAGGATCCGCTGCTTTTCCAGACTTGGTAGATGGAGTTAGGGATAGTAAATAGGTAGCTGTTTTCAAGGACTTTAGGCGCTGCATTGTTTCTGATGCTCACCTGTTTGCTCAACATCCAGTGAGCCTTACTTTCACTTGTGGAAGAACAAATCAAGAGGAAATTCTGCAGAAAATAAGTTATAAAGCTGGCCTATATGAGAGAGGAGCCAAGCCTACTATAGACTATACCAAGCCTACTATAAACTGTACTGTAATACATAAATTATTTATATAGATAATAGATATACCATGCACATGTATACACACAGACAGGTGTATATAGATTTCTATATATTTATTACGTATATGCACACGTTTCAACCCTCCCAAGACCTGAGCAGAATCGGATGTGCACCCAGCCCAGCAGCCTGCTGCTGACTGTAGCAGTAGCACATGCAGAAGGATAAAAACTGTGTGAGGTTTCCACCAGGATCCCAAATTCCCACCTACAGCTTACAGGATACCTGAACAGCAGCTGCTATCTCTAGCTTTATGCTCAATAGCCCATGTGTCTGACAATTTCTTTTTGAACCCATTTCTCCTTCTGCTGCCCAAAAAGGGCCACAGCAGTGACCTGCAGAGCTTGCTGGTGTGTTGTGTGCCACAAGGAGTCTGGACTCTCAAAGGGAGGGACTGGAAGGTCTACTCTGACACCCTACCCAAACTCTTGATGGTGATAATTCCTCCTGATATTCCATACCATCCACAGTTCAGGCTCCTCTCTTCCATTTATTTTTCTCCTCAATATGCTAAATATAAATGCTAAACATACAGACTGCTTTTCCCATAATGCTAAAGTGATTGTCAGAGCCCAGTAAGAACAGCTTCCTGCTGCATGTTTCTTACTGGTTTGCTCCTCTGTGTCCATCACAATCAGATTTTAGTTTTTGGTTTATTATCCAAGTCCCATGCTGTAGAGTATTGCTTGTCACAGGAAGTTGCATTGAGCTCACCTTCTTTTTAAATGCTGGGAAAAAAAATCAGATTCCTTTCTTATAATTAATGTAGTGCTGGTAAACAGTGCCAAGGAAGCAGCCTCAGCAACTCGGTATCTGCTGTTCAGAGCAGAGGGGTTGACCATACCTGTCCACGGGTACGCGTGGTTCCCCTTGGCTTCCCACTGCTGACCTGAAGTGAGTCCATTGGCTTGGGCAAAGCCTCTGCACTAGTTGAGCAAGCAGGTGCTCATCATGAAGGAGATTCTTCAATCACTCTTCATAAAGATCCAGGCTTGCTTAGTTCCAGGTTTGGGTTGAGGTTTTTTTTGTTTGCCAAGTTGTTTGTTTGTTTGTTTGTGTTTTTTTGGGTCTGGAGTTTTTTTATTAGTTAGAAATGTTGGGGCAGAGTACTCTATAGGAAGAAATATGATTCTATGATTCTATAAACAATCTCCTGAGGTATGATTACAATTCTTTACAGACTTACTGCAGGGCCTGGAAAGAGATGCTTAAATACTCTGCACCTCTTAAAAACCAGTAGTAATAATAATAATAATCTTCATTTTCCTTGCCAAGATAATTCAAAATCTGGACTATCATTATTTCACAGGCTTTGCAAGAAGGCATACAGAAAACTGAGAGAACATTTTCAGAAATGAGCCTCTTATTGCGTATTTTGTAATCCAAATGACTCTGCAGATTCGTGTGCATTTCAATTTATTGAGGGCCCAGCATCAATTCCTGTACTGTGAGTTCCCTGAAGTAAGCAGTAGGTGGTTCTGAGGTAAATTACTCATAATGCTCAAAAGTGCTTTATTCCAGCAAAGGTCTCACTATGCTTCTGATGGGTATCAAGCTTCTGAAATCTTTCTGCTGACTTTTAGCCTCATCTGGACAGGTCTACTTGAGGAATCAATTGTCATTTTCTTACATTAACAGGAAACAAAAATCAGGCCATGTGCAAACATACTAAAAGTGATAAAAATTACTTTTCTTATAACACACACCCTTAAACATGCCTATTTGACAGAATCTGGCTAATTCTGTATTTTTGCTCTGGGCATTATTTCTCCATTATGTGGGAGGCTCATAGCAGTGAGGTAAATTTATTGAAGTTGAATCCACATGTCCCTTGCCTTCAGTAGAAGTGCTCTGACTTACACAACTGCAGGACCTTTCCCAGCATGTCTTGTGAGGATGACTGTCTTTGTCTAACCATTGCTTTTAGACCCTCTCACACAACTGGAAGGTTTCTGAGCCAGGGGTGGACTTAGCCAGCAGCTCAGTTTTATAAGAGCATGGCACTTGTTCTCAGGACTTTTTTGGAAGAGGGCTGCAGGGAGAGCGAGGTGCCCTTTTCCTGTAACTTGTAGGTGGTGGGTGGCCTTGTTGGAAGTCACAGCTGGGGCTGGATGCTACCTTTATGTTCTCCTTCAGGGCTTGCACTGATTCTCCCCCATGCAGGCGATGGATTAGGGATCTACAAAGATGAGAGCTCAGTCTCCTGGGTGACCGCTGATGGAAAAGGCAGAGTCACATTGACCTCCCTGAAGAATCACGTGGAGTGGATGCAGGATTTCATTGTGGGTTCCTGTCAGGGCATTTTACACACATGGATCCTCCTCTGTTCTTTGCAGAAAAGCACTTTCGGCTCCATGGGGAAATAAAGGCGGTTCTTCCGTATGCCATTTCCAATTTCGATGGATGGATGGCCATTTCTGTTTCTATGGAGTATTGATCAGATTTATAGCTTGCTTAAAATGTTGTTGGTGTTATCTGACGGGGAAGTTGTTTTCCTCTGCCTGTCTCTCCCACATATATACAAAATCTACATAATTTTTAATGAAACAGAATTTTAAAATTATTGGTTTGTTTATTTACTTTCAATGGCCACTTTGGAGGACTGAATCACAAAATCTTAAGACATCTGTTATCCGTGCTCAATCAGCTACACCTAGGGATACCATCCCTGCTGTTCCCTTCAGGACCTGCCACTGTTAACACCACTTTATTCTGGAATGTGTGTGAAACACATTTACATTTTGCAACCTAGGCAGCAGCAAAAGGCCAGACAAGATCCCAGCAAGGAAAGAAAGGCAACTAAATGCCCCCTATAGGAGGTCTTGACGAGGAAAAGCAGATACTAGATAAGTACAAAGTGACTTATCCTGCTTTTAAAAAATAAATGTAGCACATGTAGATATCCACTGACTTCTCTGGTAGCTGTGGAGCATGTAGATATTTGCAAGTCTTCTGTTCTTCTCGTGCATGCTGGACTTTAGCACACATAAATAAATAGGATAGTAAAGCTGAGGGACTCAGGCAGCACAGGGTATCCCTGAATCTCAGGATTGCGCCACAGATCTGTGCCGGGTCCTGTAGCTTCCCTCACCTTCAACCAGACAAATAATCGCCATGTCACACTGACTGCCTGTCCGTCAAAAACCAGAAGGAGATGCTTACTGGGAGAGAGAAATCTACTTACCCATGCTGGGTTTGCTGCACAACTGACGTTGCCTATCCCGCCTTGACCTCCATCTGTGCGCAGCACTGGCTGATGGGGCACAGGTGAAACGCAAGTGCTGGCACCTCCTCATTCAACTTGCTCTCTGCCCCGCATCCCTCTGACTCCCTCATCTCCTCATTTCTAGCCTCAGGGCTGCCCAGAGAGCAGCCTTGCTGCTGTGGTGATGGGGCTGTGGGACACCAGTATGCAGAGACCGCAGGGATGGTACTCCCTTGTCGCTGCACCCCGAGGGCAGCCTGGCAGGGCACTGCCCACAGCCTGGGGCAAAGGCAGAGCCAACGTCTCAGGGAGATGCACGGGGAAAATGCTTTTCCTCCTGCAAAACTCCCAAGCAGGCCCTGATGCCCAATGGGACACAAGAAGCACGCTCACACAGAGTGCACATGGGCAGCGCTGCATCCTTTAAAGTGCACCTTGAAACCATATGAACATTAGAGCTCCCTTTTACCCATCTGTAAGAGCCCCTGCAGGCTGTTGCTAAGCCTAACCCCATTTTGGCCTTGGTTTTGCCCCTCTAGCATCAGTAGCAAGACATGCATTGCGTAGCCCAAAGAGTTCTTCTATTGGAAACAGCACATGGATGCATATTTGCTTCTCTGAGGATAGCGCTGAGTCAGAGCTTTTTCATACCTCCTAGATGAGAAACTGATTTTTTTTTTTATTTTTCTACTGCAACATAGGACAGGAGGCCAACTTTCTCCCTCTCTTTCTCTACTATTAACCCTAAGTGAAGTCAGAAGAGTCACCTTGGATTTTTATCAATGATGGCAAGAACAAAATCTGCCTGAAAGTGAGATTAAAAAACTTGCACTGTAAGGATAAAAAAGGTGCTCCCATAAAATTCTCAACATACAATAAATTGGGTTATAAAGCAGGCACTGACAAGTCAGCAGGACATCTTTTAAGTAACAGAAAGCTTATGAAATCACAGTACTCATAAAAGATTTACCTTTGCATCTTTGTTATTCTGTGTTTTATTCTTACTGTAAATCATTGCCACTGAGTTTAATATGGCTTACACAATATTGTAAGTATCTCTTAAGTAATATAATTGCGATCTGTGACACTCATGCTTGAAAGCTTTTTTTACTGGAGGGGAAATCTTCCATTTTCCGAGTGACTCATTTGAAACGAAAACTGCAACACATCCCGACCTTGCATTTGCAATGAAAGTGAATGAAACAGGAAGATGTTTCTGTATGACATGCAGCATACCAGTTGGGCATTTTGAGTAGCTGTTTTAAGATTCACCACCATATTGCTCATGGAGACTGGGCCTGTCGATCACAGCTGGCCCAGGGTTGCTGGAGCAGTAATGTTTTTAGCCCTTGTTTTTCAAATAAACCCTTACATTGCACCTTTTCATAACTGAAGTAGCTTTTTTCTGCTCGGGAAAAATGCCATCTCAGATAAATGCAGGGTGCAGCGGAGACCGGCACGGTACAAACCATTGCGGTGCAAGCTCTCCATCCCCCTGGCATGGACTCCAGCCCAACACTGGGGTGCACATTTTTCCACCCGCTTTAACCGCTAGTGCCACCTGAAGATGAGTTTCAGTTAACTCATCTAAGACCACTGCAAGCAGCAGGCACTCAAGCTTTAACGAAGCCAGCAAAGTGCTGGCACCGTCCTGCAACTAAACCAGCATCGCTGGAGACTTGACCGAAGAGGGGACGGTCATGGCTGCTTCTCCTCTCCAGCATTTCCCTGCCCTCTAACACTCCCTCCCCAACAGACTAAACAATCTACCATTTATTTTGGGGGCTAATGTTTAGGAATCAACTGAAGATGAGAGGTTTCCCCTCAGATGGCAGAGGAGCGAGAGAAGAGAAAGTGATACTGAGTATTGGTCCACTTACATCATTGGGAATAGTAAGTTCATGGGAACTGGTTGGAGTAGTGGCATCCAGTCCTATTCAAGGGGACAGAGGGAAAATGTTACACCGGTTGCTTGCAAGAAGGGCAAGACACAACAAATGATATTTTTGAAGAAGGAAACATACAGAAAGAAGGAAAAAAAAAAGAGAGGAGCAAAGAAAAAGAGAGAACAGAAACAGCAAGCGAAACAGAAAAGAATCAAGAGATGCAAAACTCAGAGGGCTGGACTAATTTTAAGTGAGTCTTGTTTTAATTAACCTTTAACCCACCAAAGCAACAAATGTCACATGAGATTCCACAGGGTCAGAAAAAGCTTCCAGAAAATGAAGGGTTTCCCCTAAAAACAGTCTCTAAAGTTTGTTCTAAACACATCAATTGAAAAATTAATGGATGGCTGAAATTTGACCTGTCTACCAGGAGTTCTGTTATCCGAAAATGAAAGTGGAAGTCAAATGAACAATTAGCAGAACAAAATACATACATACAAAAAAGTAAAATTAATAAATTAAAATAAGGATGAGGAAATTAACCTAGGAAAATCTGGGAATTATATGTGGGATTAGTTGTTGAAGAAATGTTGGGAAGGGTAATTTTTGAAGGGAAACATACAAAATACTCTAAGCTGCATACATTTGTTTTTTAATTGGGTGGACAAAAGGAAAGTGCTCAGGAAAAATGGAATTACTGCTCTAACACACAGTGACACTACAGAAACGTATATCTCGCAAATATAACCGGGAAAAGATTAAGGAGCAGCATGTTAATGACAAGAATAAGGAAAATATAAAGCTAGGAAAGGCAATTTAGTATTACGTGTAGATATTTTATCAGATACATCATGAAGAAACAAAAGTGCCTTTTGGAAGTCATGTTTCTTTCTCTCTTTTTCTTTTTTTGTTGTTTATTATTATTATCTGTAAAGACGTGCCAAAATTTCCAACTAGAAAAGATGGAAAGGAAATACTCTTACAAAAAGTGACTCGTCTACATTTTACTTATGTTTACATTCAATTAAGAGTTGCAAATGCTCATTTTACACTGAATATAAGACAATCAAGTTGCTCATAGAATTTGATGTATGTGATAAAATGTTATTTGCCATACCGAGCATGTACCAGTAAATACGTACTTCAGTTCTGTGAAGCTTTTAGATGCCAAGCATGTACATAGTGAAGTGCAGTAAAAGTGATTTCGTGCAGAGTTAACTCACTCTTGAATCAAGAATTCAGCTTCAGCTTTAATACATACGGACCAAGTTTGCAGTCCTTAATTTAACTAAATTTCCATTGCGTTTTGTAGCTCTATCTGCATATCTAGCAGCAAGAGAGGCACTTGTCCCAGCAGTGATGATTACAGATGCTCTTAAGACACTTGGCTCTACAAGGAATTTGCGTTTCAGCGTGCAGTAATTTCTTTAATCAGTATTTCTGTACCATGATTACATACTGTTTTCCTATGTTTGCTTCTTTCTGAACCATGTTACCAAACTGGAAATTTGACAAGAAGCACGCCCAACTACTTCACTTGGGACCAACTGGTACATACTGAATGGTCCATAATAACTTTGCAAGGGCTGCACAAAAGAAAATCAGGGCTCTTAGCCAATGGCACAAATGAAGCAGTTGTGATTAAATAAATGTAACAAACAAAGCACATTTTAGTAATGATGAAAGGAACTGTAACAGAGGTGGGGGAGGGGGGGGAGGGGAAGAACAGAGATTAATGTGTAAAAACAGAAGGATCACTGGTCATTGACCACATTTATTATTAAAATGATGTAATGACCACGGGAAACAAAGCTGTTAAGAAGAAGGACATCCCCAGGGGGTCATGGGTACGTACCAGGGAAACCAGGGGTGGTCTGCCCAAGGGGAGTAAAGGGGGGATGCTGCATAGCCAACTGGTGAAGCTTGGTCAACTGCAGGGCAGGATGGGAAATTAGAACTAACCAATCAAATGGAATTATTTCAGAGCAGAGAAACCATCTTACATGTTCTAAAACTGGATTAATTAAAATTATATTGAAAAAAAAAAGGTTTAATACTTCATTCTAATCTACCATAGAGAAAAAAACAAAAACCAAACTGGTTATAAATGACATCTCTACTGTTATTACATGTAATGGCTATTGTTAATATTAACTAATTACTGTAGAATTACATATTAAAAGAACTTAAATATATCACATGCAATAAAAGACCAAGATAACCGTCATTTGTTCTTGGGCCATTGTACTTTCTAGTAATTGTTACACAAGGTAAGAGATACAGATGAGCTAACACTTGGCTCTACAGTGTGTTGTTCAGGAAAGGTGTCCTTAGGCCGTGTCTTTATTGCTAACTATAGAAAGCAAATGTTGCCCAGAACAAATAAGAGGGAGAGGAAGAAAAAGGGAGTAATTTACATGCGCAGGACTCACGTCTGGATGAGGGATGGCATACTGCCCCTGAATCGTGAATGCCTGCAAACAACAAGCACAGTTAAGACACGGGTCAGTCAGGTGGGACAAACAGCAGCTCCTGTTCTCATCTGAAAATCTTCTCCTGGTCGCCCAGGTGAATGCCACCCGCATTGCTTCAAACGCTGAGTGACACTTAAGTGTCTTATGCTGCTTGACAATGCTTGGCATGGGACGGAAAGACCTTAGTAGGGCTGCCCACACACCCCTTGCAAGCAGGGGGTGCCAACTGCCACTGCCTGAGCTCTGGTGACCCCAGTCCTCAGGACCCCTCTTCAGTCCAGCTCTGTCTGCTGGGAGCAGAGCTGGGGACACCACGGGTGCTGAGGAGCAGGGAGGAGCTGAGGAGGCCCCATTGATGCATGTGGGGAGATGCTGATGCTGGGGGAGCAGGGATGGGGCAGACCTGCCTGGGGGATGTCCTGCACTCACATCCAACTCCCGACTGCCACGTGCAGCTCTGAGCCACCTCTTCTGGCTACTGACAGCCACAGATGCTCGCTCGATTCTAGCAAATGCATGCCCCGGTGCACCCCACTGGGCTCCTGTCCCAAGTTGCCATGCCAGTGGGTGCGTGAGCACATGTGCTGGGTGGCAGCCTGTCCTGCAGTGCTTTGGCATGGGGATAGAATGCCAATTTGGAGATAGAAGTATGATTGAGATAGGAGCATGATGGAGACCCACAGGATGACAGTCTTATCTTCCACCAAGAATCAAATGTCCTCTCCCAAAATCCAGCCAACAAAGCACATAAGTGAGGAGGGATACAGTGGCATGCCTGGCACCTGTTAGCACAGCCCTTCATCTCTCCTGCTGGCTCTGTACAACTCTCTGTAGTGGCCTACAAAGAAAAAATCTACAGAGAGTTTATAATTTCCTATTATATATAACCTGTTGGGCTTTTCTGAAAGGAATGGCATCACAGAAAAATTTTAATATGCTTGTGCTTAGACAGACAGGAAAGCAGAAGGACAAATTATAACGTATAAATATTTGTAGTGGAAGAATTGCAAACAGGAACAGAGCTGATTAGCTTAGTTTGCAAAATGCTTATTTGACAAAAGGCCTCTTAGAAAGTAATGAATCCTCTGCAAATGATAAAACAATTCATTTAATGGAGTTTGGATATTAAAACCTTGAATGCCCCAACTGCTTAATGTGCACTTCTGCAGCAGAATTTCCCTTCTGGAGAAGAAACATTTCATTTAGTTTTTAAATTAGTTATAATGCAAGGCTGCTATCTGACGAACATTATGCACATGAACAGTTTTCAGGCAGAAGTGTGTGCATCTGGGCTCCATGGGATGTTCACGGATGTACATACTCACATGTGTCTATGGGGGATGGCCATTACTGATGATTTATAACTGCCAAGAAAAGGTTTCGGTTCACCAAAACAGGATAACTGCCATCAGTAAGGCTTAAGCAAGCACGTATTCAAGCAAGTAAATCATGTGCTTAAGTGTTTTACCAGATGAGGACAATCTTAAGCAAATGTTACGCTGCTTTGCTGAGCTGGGGCTTTGTGTGTAGCCTAGCACAGGAGAAGCCTTAGGGATGTTATAGGTGGATAGAGCTCTGGGGAATGCCTGGGTCCATGAGCAAACAGTGGGTTTGGAAATCACGCTTTGGTCTCTTGACTTCACTTCAAAACCCACTAAGAGAACACCTTTTACATGGGTGCCTCCCAAGCAGTGGCCTTCAAACTCGCAAGAAACCACTGCAAAAAAAATCACCAGCAAATCTAACAAAAGTCATCCCCTTCCTCATCACTCCTCTCCCTCACATCTCCACGTATACATATGAGGAAGCAAACAAAATAGGGAAATATTCTGAGCTCGGTCTACCTTTTATTTGGCTGTCAATGAAAGCCATCAAAGCAGCATGGATAAGATAGCTCTTGATTATTTTTTTCCCCAGAAAAAACAAAACAAACAAACAAAAAAGCCCTTTGCTTCTTAGGCTCCCGAAAGGTCATTTGATTGATTTAGGTTGAGAAAAACTGCCTTTGACCACTTTACCCCTTGGCAGAGGACCTGTGCCCTTTCAGTGGCTGAGGCATGCCAAGTACAAGCCTGGTAGAGGCTACTGAGACATCTGGACTGTAATGTTTTACTAAGGACATGAGCTACGGGTCTGCTTCCATCAAAGTCAAGGGCAACCTTCCTACAGACGTTACTGACATTAATAACAGCAGGAACGACCTGGTCTACAAATCTACCACAATTTAAACCACAAAACTGCTATGAGACAAAGCAAAGCTGTGCCTTGTAAGTACTCATCTAATCAGCAATGAAGCACAGTGAGTAGAAGTTTCCAATTTGTTTCCATTAGGCAGGAGTGCTGGATTTCTGGTTTTTTTAATCACTGCATATGCTAAATATTGGTAAGGGGCAGAGCAGGGCAGGACAGTGTCTAGCTTGCTTTCAGTTCTGTCATGCAATCCAGTATTGAAGAAGCACAAGACAGTTTAAAGCAATACTTAAAGCAGAAGAACCCCAACTTGTTAAGGAAAACTAGAAATTTGATTTTGCTAGTGTTGCATGAAATGCAAGCTTTAAACAAACCAAAACCTTTCAAGACAGCCATGATGTAATTTAGAATAGAAAAACAACTTCTGACAGTGTAGCCAAAAGGCTGAGTGGAATTAACACTGCTAATAAAATTTTATTTTCAGTATTAATGTCCACTTATGAAACCTGGTTTAAGTGTCTTTCCATACTGACTCCCAAACATACCTTAAGCATTTTTTTAAAAAGTTTGCTTAGTCAGAGATTAAATTTAAAGCACACAGAAAGTGTCTCTCACACTCACTTGTTCTCACACAACAAGATTGCATTAGTGAAGCCAGAACACTTTTTTAACTGATAAAACTGAAGATGACAGGAGCTATTAGACCTTAAAAGAGGACACCTTCAATTATTTATACAAACTGCTCAGAGCACTCTAGCAAAGAGTTTCAAGATTTTTGAGTAATCATATACAGAGACAGTCTTTGAAGGCAGTGGCAGTTACAATACTGGTAACATAGGCTGCTGCATATATATATATATACACACACATACATCTTTCTTAAAGGAAAGCACTGCAGTGTAAACTTCATTCATATATGGAGTAAATGATTCTGAACTTTCAGTCATAGACCAATTTTGAGCACATTATTTTAAATTTCAGTTCAACTTTTGTCACTAAGGAAGCAGATTTCTTATTCTGCAAATAACCAGAGGTGGTAGGCTTAAACACCAGGAATTAAAAGCTACTACATCCAGATTATGAAACTCTAGATAAACATCGCAATGTATCATTACAGAGTAGATGATAAAACTCTGAGACAAAAATTCTGCAGCACCTTGTGGCCTCTGCCCTGTGTTTGGCTTCTCATTTGACCAAATTGCCTATTGGCGTGTGACATGGTCTATATGGTCTACAACACTCACGACAGGGTGATGACTTGGGCTGGGTTAACAGGATGGGAAGTTGGACCTGCCTGCGGATGTCCCACCATGTAGGTGAGTGGCTCTTCCCCCTGCGTAACTGCTTAAAAAGGGGCCTTGCCATCATCTTGGAAAAAAAATTTGGCTGGGTGGCAGCGCCTTTACTGCCAGAGGGGCTTCACATATGCAAATCCTAAGTAGAGAGATAGCTGCCCTCCTCTAGGCCAGATTTAGGAGATCAATTTCCCCTTGAGTTGGGCACGGTTTGCAGCATCACACTCCTTCACCTTTGCAGTTATATGGAGAGTGCTGCTCTTGGCCTGCTGGCTATATGGGTCCCCTTGGGAACCTCCTGTGGTGTTTTTAGGGCACATACCAGCTGCATTCATTGCTGGCTCATCAGTTGCTAAAACTGCATTCCCTCTGCATTGGATGATGGCAGAGCAATTTCCCACCATATCTCAGTGGCACATTGCACACCCATTTCAGAGCACTATCAAAACATAAAGAAGCGTCACACTTCACATGGGTTTTTAAAGGCAGATGAAAATACTGACTGATATAGCTTTAGATCAAAGGGGAATCATTAAAGCTTCATTATATAAAAAAGAAACAAGAATGCTGTGCTAATGTTATCTATCAGGCTGTTGCATGTCATGGTTGGGAAGATTGAAACTTGCATGTATGTAGTTTCTGTAACCTCAGAATCCCATTTCTATTCAGTCTTGAGGGACTAAAAGCAGCAGAAACTGTGTGAGTATAGATTTTTACTGGAAAATGCACTATTTGGTCCTAAAAGTGTGAAAACTAAGAGAGAAAAATGATGCCTTTCATGAGGAGAGACATCTTGCTGTTTGATCATCTCTGAAAAGTTGACAAAACTGCTTATACCACTGGTGGAGCTGCAAAATAAGAGTGAAAAAACCAACCCCTGCAATAAACAGTTTCATCCCAGTCAGGAAGTATCTGATTTGAACACCTCTCAATTTGCAGGAGGGCAAACTTTTCTTGATTACACAATTTAACTTTAGATCTTGGTAAAATATCAGTCATCACAGTTCGTATCAAGATTGCAATGCAGTGTTCTCCTTTCTGCAAACTGTAAGCACACAGAGTAGACAAAGCACATCAATACTATACCAGGCAAAAAAGAGTATAAGTTGAAAACTAACAGGCGCTGGCTGTGGTTGGGCCAAGACGGTGTGGTTTCCAGCTGAAGCCAGAATGGTATCTGCTCTTACCTGGCCACCTGCAAAAATGATAGGTGCAGAGGCAGGTTTGGGACGGTAGGGGATGGTGGCACCTTTGGGTGGGGACTGCAGACAAAAAACACAAAGCAATCAGTGAAGCAGAACTCCTATTAAAAAAATCACTCCCTACCTTGGTCACCTCAGACAACAAGGCTCGCAACTAACCCAGTCCCATCCAACCCTACCTAGCCCATCCCAACCCAACCCAACCCAGCCCACCACCCCATCAGCTCAAAAGCAAGCTGGAGGCCAGTTGTCTGGGCTTTGAGGGGAAAAGCCAAGGTCCTGGCTGCATAGCTGAAACAGGCAGTGCTGGCACTTGTAGCTTCACTACCACAGTGACTGGATGAAGCTATGAAGCTTCATTAAGCATTTCAAGTCACTTCAGGAAACACAGGCACAATTTTGAAATTTGTCAATGTTTGGAAGAATGTGGCCTGTGCTCTTGCTGTGTTAACACAGAGCACATCTCCTGCTTATCGATCTTTCCTATGCTGCTACACATCAAGGTTTCTTGTTTTACCAACTCAATTAAGTCAGCTGTTCAATTGCAAATGACCATCCTGATCCTGCCTTTTGTCTGACTGAGCTGGTAGGCTGGAGAAAAATCCTCCCAGCTTCAGCAGGAGCATAACCACAGCCTTTGATATGCATGGAAAGGAAGTATGTTCCCTGTATCCCAAGGCAAGGACTCAAAGGTAAAATCCCTGACCGAGGCTAACTTTGTGTAAATAAAGCAGAAGCACCTCCCTGTAAAAAAAGGCTTCAAACTGCCTGTGCTACACCTAGCAGAACGGTGCTCTGGTTTCAGTGCACTAACTACAAGTAAAGAAGGTAATAACAGTATCAATTCCATTCATTACTATCATATAATTAGCTATTTCATGTCAATGAAAGTGTTTGTTGCCAAATTAAATACATGCTGCAAATTAAGAGCACATTCATTTTCTGAGTTCTTTAAAGGTTTGAAGAAGCAAACCGTAGTTAAACCAATGTCTTCTTCGTGCTGCTTCATATTTGACTTACATTAAAATGAAGTACTTCTCATGTCAAAACTGGTTATTTAAAAAGTGGCTTTACCTGCAAGAAAATAAGACTGTGTCTCTCTGATTTTGAGATATGGCTTCTCTCATCTTCTTTAGCAAATAACTATATGTTATGCCACTTGTACAATAGACTGCACTCTGTATTTACAATGGTGATAACTATTGCCATTACATACTCCATCTCTAACAAACTAAAACTATTTTTTAGTAGTATCTTACTGTTCCCTTGCATTTTTATAAACAAATCCCTTCCCTACAGTAGTCCAGCAAAAACTGAGCAAGAGACACTTTTCCCCAGTAAAACATGGGGTATCTATTAGTTTTTATGATTTTATTTGCATTAGGCTGTATGACATTTTGATGCAAAGGCTGAATGTCATTTTGATGCACTGCATAATTCTGAAGAGCCAATAGCCATAGTGCTGTCTCAAACACTCTGCTGTTTCGCCCATCTTTAAATAATAACAGAACAGTAGGGTGTCAGCAATCATAATGACACAGCCTTTGACTAGACTTAGGTAAAAAGCCAAACCAAACCAAAAAAAACACAGAAAATTTTCCAGCAGAAAATGTGATGTTTCATGTTCCATGTCAAAAATTATGGTTACCAAGTCAAAATATTTCATTTTGATTTGCTGATATTTTTTCCCCAAACTTCTAATCAACTTGATCAGTTGAGAAATGTACTTGCATGAAATTATGGGCATTTTCAGCAAGGATTAAAATGTCCAGATTTAGGTATAAATTAATTTCGTATCATTTAATCTAAGAGCTAAAAAACTGCCATCAAAATGAAACATTCTGGCCTCATGCAATGACCTGATCGTAAAAAGTGCTGGTAAATCTAAATTATGCTAGTTGGAACTATTTCTATTTAAAACAAGATCTAGATGTTTTCTGTCCTATTCTGCACCGGAATAAAATGCTATTCTCTCAGAACAGGCTGCAGCTCCATACTGGACCTGGTTTGTTGTTTGACAGGGTTGTGACAGCTCTGTTCTCTGATTGCTAAACCCTGCCGGGAGGGCTCTCAAACACCAAGCAGGGCACAGACTAACAGAGTTCTCTGGAAATCCCTGGCATTGGAAGGGCAGGCAACCTCCTGGGGAACACAGGGCACTTGGAAATTAATAATGAGTTTGAGCACCTCCCGAATGAGAGGTGAAACGCCAAGCACACCCACTCACCTCCAGCATGACCACGCATATCTGTTTCACGCACTGGATGATGGCATCAGGAGTGCCTGATATAGTCACTGCGCGCTCCGTCGAGTTTGGCAACATGTCCCCTGCTACCTGCACCTGGGCCCCTGTGGACTTGAGCAGAGAAAAAGCAAAGAGAATGTAAAAGCCGGTGACGTGGTGGAGGGGAAGCACCTCTAAACTTTCTTTCTTCTCACACAGAATCAAAGAATCACAGAATATTAGGAGTTGGAAGGGACCTCGAAAGATCATCCAGTCCAACCCCCCTGCCAGAGCAGGATCACCTAGACTAGGTCACACAGGAATGCGTCCAGGCGGGTTTTGAATGTCTCCAGAGAAGGAGACTCCACCACCTCTCTGGGCAGCCTGGTCCAGTGCTCTGTCGCCCTCACAGTAAAGAAGTTCTCTTTGCTAGATACAAGATGTAGTGCATATGCAAACTCATGGCCAGACAGGGCAACTGGGGTCTGGCAGGACATGGATTTGCCTTTTTGAGCCAATTTGCAAGTGTTTCCATTCTAGGAAGATTAGTTCTCAGTAGCTGTTAACGAATCAAAATTCAGGACAAGTCTTCTAACCCCCTCAAAGACAGACAGTTGCAATGATGACTAAAAAATGAAAAAGGTGAAATGAAGTACTTTTCAATAATAAAAAAAGAAGGAAAAAATGCTGATAACTGAAGAAGGTCTACTAATCCATTCCAGGATGGTACAGAAGCACTTTTAAATTATAATTAGTGTTGATTAACACATCATCAACTTCTAGCTTATTAATGAACTCAAGGAGGTAACAAGCCAGGTTTTTTTTTAAATTTGATCTTGGCACTAAAAAATCCCAGTCAACAAAAAAACCCCAAAAACAAACCCAAAGAAAGAAAAAAATATATGAGGCCAAAACGATCTCTGCCATTATTTCACAAACATCTTGAAAGGCCTTTTCAGTCAATGGAAAAAACACCAAACAGGCATTTTCTATTGAGTTAGCACTTTCATATATTACAAACAAAATCTATTTGTGACTGTTACTGCAATGCAATATTTAAGGCTTTAAAAAAAAGTATTTTCAGTAACCATTGGCTTTGTGTCAGTCAGCAAGGAGCTAATTTGTTTTCCTGATGGTTACATACAACACATGTTATTCTTCTTTCCAGAGACTGATTAAATTACTGATTGCATCTTCTGTTCACTAGTGCTGTTTAAGGCCAGAATATCAATTCCTTGCTCTATAATAGGCTTTGGAATTTCGCCATAATTTGATCAATCAGTCATGCTTTTCCTTTCTTTTCTATTGTAATCTTATCTTGAAAATAGTATAGCAGCCCTACATGTTATTCCTGGGTGCCTGACTGAGCACAAGACTATCCCTTGTGCAATTGCTGCTCAGTGTGTTGTGTGATGACGAAATTAGACCACGTCTTGAGCTGGATGGTCCTTTTTTTTTAACGTACAGTTCTGGGTATCTGTACATATAGCACAAAATACTCTACCAAATACTGCAGTCCTTTATGCATTTGCTTCCAGTGCTAATCTTGTTTATTCTTTGACTTTGGTCATATGCCAGCAATGAAAAAACGAGTAATATTTTGTCCATTACCCTTATGCTTAAGAAACTGTGCAGTGTGACTTCTTGCTACATTAGCCGTATCAAAATACCTATTTGGCCAAACACTATCCGCTTACTTCCTTCTACTAGACTAGTAGGTAATTGCTTCTGAACCTATGCTCACTGGAATAATCACTTATGCCATTTAATGTTCACAGACCAGCAGACCAATCTCACCTTTGAAAGCCTATGGCCTAATAGCACTCACCTGGTGCTCTGGATAAAGTTACCAATATTTAAAATAAAATACAAAGGATAGACAAGTGTAAAACCTAGGGCTAAACACACAGTTCACACTCACTTCTGGTCCTATTTTAACACAGCTTAGA